AGCGGGAGCCGGTGGCTGGCGGAGAGGGGGACGGCGTTGCGCAGCCACATGACGGAGGGCTGGGGGTTCCCTCGCACCTCACAGGTGAACTTGGCGCTCTGGCCCCAGGGAATGATCTGCTGGGACAGCTCCATGGTGACCTCCGGGGGCTCTGCACAAGGGAAAACCAGAGCTGCTCAGTGCCGCTTGGCAGGGAGCACGGCACCGTCATGGCTTCGTGCTTTTCCCTCTGGCACCAGGGCAGAGCAAGGGATCCTTACCTCCCCGCAGCCCATTCCTATTACCTTTGTGGGGGCCTGCAGGGATCTGCTTCATTGCACCCCCCTTTCAGCATCCATATTTACTGCAAGGAGAGGTGGCCCAAGGCCAGCTGCCCCTCTCAGGTGACAGACGCCACCTACAAGTCCCATTTTTCTGAGCTGAAACACTACACTGCAAAGACTGTGCTGGTGCCAAGTAGTACCTGAGTGAAATATAATCCAACAAACACAGGCTTAGCCTCCCTAATGCTTGTTGAGAAGGGGAAGGATGCATGGTAGTAATATCCAGGCTAGATGAGGCTTTGAGCAACCTGGTCTAGTGGAAGGTGTCCCTGCTGATGGCAGGGAGGTTGGAACTGGATGATCTTTAAGGTCCCTTCCAACCCAAGCCATTCTATGATTCTATGATTCTATATCCAAGGTGTAGTATCCCGTAGATTTCCCACCCCATAGAGAGCTTCCCTACAGCACAGAGCAAACCACAAGTCCCTCTGATGTCTCCCCTATGCCAATGTCAAATATGTCTAAGAAGCAGCCAGTCTTCTACAAGAGAGTGTCAGAGCAAATGCAGTGCCACAAATGACAAGAGAAAAATTTCCATAGGGGAAGGGAAGATTCATCATCTCCAGCTCATGGTGGGAGCCAGGAAGGAGGAACTACCACTCTCAAGGAAGAATTCATCCCATCTCCTAGGAACTGGAACCACAAGCAGGGGTTTGCCTTACGTTGTGGTTTCTCCAGGGAGAAGAAGAGTACAGCAACACTAGTATTTTCCCTGGAAAGCAGTGGAGAAAGTCCAAGCCCTTCCTGAAACAAGGACCACAGCAGCACTCACCGAACACCTGCACATTGTAGAAGATGAATGCAGCTCCGGCCTCCCCAACCCCATTGTCAGCCATGCAGCTGTAGGTCCCCGAGTCCTCCTCACTCGTGGGGTCAATCAGGAGGTTGCTGAGCAGGAAGCGTGTCTTGTTGTACGCAGAGACGCTGGAGCCGTCTTTGGCCCAGGTGACCCGCGGTGGGGGGATCCCGCTGGCCACACACTCCAGGATGAGGCTTTGGCCCTTGGTGACAATGATGGTCTGAGCTTCGGGGGGATAGATGATCCGGGCTGCCTCCGCTGTGGAGCCTGGTGAGGAGAGGAGGAGGAAGGAGGTGGGTGGGAAGGAAGGTGGCTGGTGGGAAAGCATCCTGTGAAGAGTGCAGGTGGGGGTAATGGTAGGGCTGGCACGCTGCTGCCCTGCGTTGGAACGGATAAACAGCAATGCAGGCCAGGAGGGACATTCCTTAGGGGACACATACACACAGCAAGCAGTCTTGCCAAAGGACTAAGGGCCTTTGCTCGCCCATCACCAAGAACGAGTCCTGAGAAGGTACAGCAATCCCAGGGTTGCACACACATACCCCAGGAACAGACCTTGGGACCTTCTGCTGCTGGAAAGGAGTTTTCCCAGCAATCCTGGCCTTGTGGCCAGGAAGGCCAA